GAGAGAGAGAGGGAGAGAGTGTGTAGGTTCTGTTCATGGCCATCAAAGGGCTCTGCCTTGCCTTCCGCCTTAAGGCCTCCTTAAATTGGACAGGTGCCAGATTGTGAAAACACACACACATACACACAAACCAAAGCTTTTTACAGCTTATTGTGTCAGGGTGAGAGAAGAAGTACCTAGACAACACACAAACACACACACACACACACTCTCTCTCTCTGAGCTCACCGCTATCTGACAAGGTAGGATTGCCAACCTCAGATTGTTTTTGCTTTTAAAGGAACACTGTATGGAACAATGAGAGACCTCTTCTGCACAAATTACACAGGTTGCTGCTACCTTATGTGGATTCTTGGTTATTTGCCACAAATTCTTTGGTGTATGTTTAAAATTGTTAAAAAAAAAAAAAAAAAGGCCACACAGCCATGAAATGCACTTGGACATTGTGCTGTTCATGATGTGTTTACAGATGTTAAGTATAGCAGAAAGTACATCCAACTGCCCTTCAGTGAGTCAAAGGCTTTACTTAGGCATTATGTGCAAACGTGATTGTGTATACATTAACTATAGCTGGCAGCCTAACCCCCCCCCCTTGAAGGTTTACTCTTCTGAAAACAATAACCTGACATCTGTCACTTCCAGATAAGGTGGCCATAATCAAAAGGATCGTTACCTTACCACTAGGACTTGTATGATGGAACTAAAATGTTTCTGTCTATGTTAGTTCTTAGCTAAGAGTTCATCTTCTTAATATTACCAGCAGACCTGAGATGACCTTTTACTAAGGAACAGAAAATCTTGGGTTAAACCTGTTTGCTATGAGTGGTGACATGTTTCAGAATTACTTACACCTGTCTAACAGATTGAATGACAGGTGATCATCTGCTCAGAGAGAAGGATTTAATTAGATTTCGATATGAGATACGGAATGCGCGCGTTTCCATATCAAAATAGGCAAGATTGTGTTAGTCATCCAAGTATGATTGGGTGTTTGATCGTTTGACCTATTAATTCAACCGCCCATCAAATGTCTTTTAAAAGTTTCATTATCAAACTCTGGATGCAATGAGTATACAAATTGCCTGAAGTAGCCGACTGTGAGCAGGTCCTCTGGTACCCTAACCTCTCTCGACTTGTAATTACTCTATACCAAAAACCTGAGAGTGTCTAAAGTTAGGACTCCCACCCTCGGCTAGGTTAGGACCTATCTTTTTAGCCTTCACATTTTAGCAATGGCTTTGATTGCTGGTTGAGTAAGAATGATTAAAGGTTCTTCTAATCTGTTAGAAACACACATTGTACCCAGTATTTAATACTGGATAATTAAATGTGTCCAACACTGCATTTACCACAAGGTATGCAGCATCACTATCTCTTCCTTCTTCAGGTCATTGTAGGTGGCTGTCATCTTACACTAGCCCACACATTGGCAACCATTTGTAGTACCAAGGCCTGACAGGATATGTCCCATGAAACCCATTAGCTTCCACTCTTGTGCATATCCCATCGCATGTCCCGTGGCCCTGGGTCAAATTGGATTTGGAAATAAGTAAATCAAGAATGAATCACTAGGGGCGCGCTGCGGAGGGCCGCGTTTTTACCGGTGAGAAATCAGCTCGGCAAGTGGCAGGAATCTCCTTATTTAGGATCGACAACTGTTAGTTGCTAGAATCCTTTTCGGGTGAGTTTTCCGAGAAGCCCAAATGATTGTGCTAATGTTTGACATAACTGTTGACTTTTCTTTAATTTAAAGTTGCGTTCCTTTCCTTCCATAATTGCTCCGACTTTTAAACAGATCACAGATCAGTCAAGCTGGGCTTGGGATGGAGCTTCATGCACCGGGAGACAACACAAAAATTAAACATGGAGCGAAAAAGTTTTGCTCCCTTTTTTAAATATGTCTGATTCAAGGTACAAATAACAGGTAGCCATGCAGATTGTTAAAAGCAGGCATTACTTTTATTTGGGAGCTGCTTCATTTGTGAGAATCAGGGGGAAGCTAAAAAATGAAATTTAAAGTGAGTGGGGAGCGCCCAAGAGCCTTGCAGTCAAGGGG